CTTTAACAGGAGATACTACCAGTTTTTGGTTTTTGTGTTAACTTCTTTAGTTTGTCAAAATGTTTTGGGGAAATATATATATATATATATATATATATATATATATATATATATATATATAACATAAGTACATATAACTAAGATACCATGATCATCTTGGTTGATCTATTAATACATCAGTAATACATATAAATATGGATTCTAATTTAATTGAATTTTTATAGTTAAAAATAACAGGAAATTATAAAACAATGAAAATTCTCCAGTCAAACAGTCACAAACAGTTCATATCTTGACATATCTTACCTGTTTAAAATAAACAGCAATGACAGAGAATATATAAAAAATAAGAGAAAGCACACTAACAGAGCAGACTTAAACAAAAGTTTGGCACCTCCACACACAGACATCGTAGCTACAATCCTGGTAGTTTCTTTACCCCAGAATGACACTAACTCCACATTTAGACTACTTCAGTAAGAGTCTACATGTGAGGGAGGAAATAGAGACATAATCATTACTCTAAGCAAAAGGTTATGATAAAGGTTCACCCAATAATCAGTCTTAAAAGGAGAAATTAATGAAACATTTTGCTGACCAGCTGCCTGGGGTCTATCTTTTGAAAAGAACTGTTAAACAACATATCTGGAAAACACACACAGAAAGACACACACATACACACACACACACACACACTTACACATACATGTGCACGATGAAGGAAGAAAGAGCCCAAATGAAATTGAATTCTGTCTACATCTAGTCTGCTATTCCAGGGGACAGATGGGGAAAACAGTAAAGTGGTAGATAGGGAGGAATAAAGAGAGGAAAAGAAATAATAAAAACCATGACAATAAATGCAAACACTTTCACTCCAAATGGCTCAGAAACCTATGAATAGATACAGGCCAAAAAAAGCAGAAAATCAGCACCACAACAATGATTTGAACATATATTCAATGTCAATTTAATAAATATGATAGACATCTCTGGAAAACAATTTACAACATGTTTATGGTACTTAACAAAATTAAAAATCGAATTCTAAAAAAGATCAAGGAGTTAATTTAAAAAATCAGATGGAAATGGAAAAACATAATTCGATTTTGAGAAGAATAATCTATAAATATTAGAAATGACAAGTACTAAATGAATAATTTTTTAAAATGAACAGGCTGAATATCTCAATTGAATAAGAAGATAACATTAGTGAATTAGAAGATACTAATGAAGAGCTCAGGTAGAATACAACACAGGAAAGTAAATAAATTTTAAAAATAAAAGCCATGAAAATTAGACAACATGGAACAACTAATTGATGAAATTGCAGATAAATAAGATATAAAAAGAGTAGCTGATAATTTGACAGAACTGAAAATAGACAAAGGACTAGGTTTATGTAAGAAAAAATTGAAGAACAAGTTTGGGCTCTCTGCCTTATGCATCAAGGCTATTACAAATCTATAGTAATTGAGGTGTGGTATTGACACAGGAATTTGCAAATGAAGAATAAACCCATGTAAGAATTCCTGAAAATACAAATTATACATTATTCTTGAAATAAGACAGTTCTGGCACTATACACTAGTAGGAAAAAGGCAGGCATTTTCAAATGATGTCAGGACAATTGCATATTCATTAAGAACACTATTTATAAAAATATGTAAAATTATTTTTAGAGACTAACAAGTGAAAGGGGAAATTTTCAATATTTTAAAAGAGCTGAGTACAGTGTCACATGTCTGTAATCCCAGAGACTTGGGAGGCTGAGGCAGTAGGACAACAAGTTTAAGATCAGCCTCAGCAACTGACCAAGATTCTGTCTAAATAAATTAAAAAAAAAAAAAAAAACACTGGGGATATAGCTCAATGGTAACACACCCCTGGGTTCAATCCCTAGTACAAAAACAATTAAAGAAAATATTGGTAGAAATAAGAAATAGAACTGCACCTCAAATGAAAAATGGCAAAGGACATAAATAGACAATTCATAGAAGACCAAATTAAAGGAGGGGCCAATGAATATAAAATATAATTATAAATATTATAAAAATATAATATTATTAATAAAAAACAAACAAAATATAATTTCACACTTATTAAATTGAGAAAAATTTGAAGTTTCAACATTCAGTTGTCAAGGATGTTAAAAACAGGGGATGCATACACCACTGCTGAAGGTTAGGTGAAATACTAATACCAATCTTTACCAGGATACATGAATTAAACATGAGCATATTATAGTCTTTGGCTTATATATAAATTTTGAAACTTTTTCTGCTATAATAAATAGCTAAATATACAAGATTTTCTGGATAGAAATGCATAATTAAATCCAAGGATAAGGCAACCATCCCTTCCAGTGTATGATTCTAAAAATAGGAACCAAATTTTAGAAATGAAATTCTGACAGGAAATAAAACATTATATATTTATCATATATGATGTCATAAGTTATAATATGTGGGATTAAGTGTTGACAGTTGTGCCAGAATGTTACTGCAGGTAGCATGTCATTAGATATGAAGTGCAGGATATTAGTTACTTCACCTCAACTGGTAGTTCATCAGCAAAAGCTATCTAGCTTATTGTCTTTCCTTGATTATGTCTCTTTTATTTTTCACTGCCTATAGTAAAGCCTTGTTTAAAAAACAGTCTGATATAATTGGGATTATACACAACATTTAAGGGTAAGAAGGTTTTAGTTTAAGAGTGTTAAATCATCAAACAGGAAAATATTTCTAAAGGCATGATAAAATCAGGAGAATCATAATAGAAGGTGATGGGTCTCCACTGCTTTTCCCACAAAATTGTCTTCTTCATTTTGAAGCTGGAGGATATGAATTTTAGTAAAGATAAAGGAAATTTATCTGTGTACTATAGCTTGATAAGAATGCATCTGTAAAGTTATATTTTTTTAAATAAACTGACATTGAAGGAAATTAGTAGCAAGTCATATTTTGTGTATCATCATTGTAGGTCATGAGACAGCTGTTGTACTCTAAACCCAGAGATGCTGGCCTTGGTATTCTAATACAGAAAAGTAATTATGATTACTTTAAAAAGCATTTGCATTATGCATTCAATTAACTTTCATGCCTAAATTATGGAAACAGGGACTTTTGGCTACAGAGGCCTAGGACAAGAAAGACAATCAGGAAATAAGAAAAAAATTACAGAGACAGTAGGAAGGAAATTGATGCCTGGTGAGGACAACACATTTTATGTGTGACAACCAGGAAAGTGTACCTAAATAATATTATCTGGTCACTTAGAATATCTCTGACCTCTGAAGCTTATAAAACCTCTCAACCTGGTGGGGATGTGGCTCAAGCGGTAGCGTGCTCGCCTGGCATGCGTGCGGCCCGGGTTCGATCCTCAGCACCACATACAAACAAAGATCCTCAGCACCACATACAAACAAAGATGTTGTGTCCGCCGAAAACTAAAAAATAAATATTAAAAAAAAAAAAAACCTCTCAACCAAGACCAAGGATTTTCCATTTTCTTCAAAGAATCCGTCTTAGACTGGGAAAGTCCATCTTAGTGTGCCTGCTGCTTTTCTGATTTTTGCCTGTTTTTTGGCTAATACAGGTGCACATGAATTCAGTTCACCCTGGGGCTCCTGTTGAGAACTTTGAATGATTTCTAAGAATACTCCAAAACTCAAAAAAATACCATTATGGAAAAATACATTATGATATTTACTAGAGGTTGGAAAGCTATTATTTGTTGCTACAATTGAAAACAAAACCATTATATATTGTTCTATAGGTCCCATGTAGATTTATTTATATGAAACTACCCAGAATTTATGTTAGTGTCTCTTATTTCTTCATTTTACATTTTAGTTGAAATCCCAAAAAACTTTAGCAATAGATGATCCAGTTATTGTTATTTTTTTAAAAAATGATTCTGTATTAATAGAGCTTTATTAAATTCTAATATCTCATTCCAAGTTTGTCTTACCAAAATGTATATTCATGGCATAAAATTATCTGGAAATACCAATACAGGTCCAACAAAATGTATGAAGTTAAACCTCTTGATTTTTATCTAATACCTTTTAGAATATGATAGAAGGCTTAGGACTTCAAGTCCTAACATTTCATATTAACAGAATTCTCAGATAAAACTCTTGAATTTAATATAAGCTTAATTTGCAACATAGCTTTCAGTTAACATAAAATAAATATACATAACATTGGCAGGTTTTTTTGGTATTAAATATGAGGGTTTTATAAGCAACAATCATTTAGTCAGCTTTTTTATTCAGAAAAGAAGATCTTTGGTATTTGAATTTAATTCTGGTATGTCTGTCTGTTCTTGAGAAACATGAAAGCTCCACTCTATCTCGAATATTGAGATTTAACTGGGGTACATTTATAAATCATTTATGTTGGTGTGGGATTCAAAATGATCCTCTAGCATTTTTTTTTCCTAAAGCAGCCTTGGTTTCCCGTTATTCTTATATAGGTAATGATTTCTCTGATCTAAAGCAAACCTCACTACTTTGAGAAAAATACACCCCCATTCATCTGTGCCATATCTCCAACCTCTGCTACTCTAAAGATAGATAATAATGCTGGCAATAGAAAAGCAGAGAACGTAAAAAAAAAAAAAAAAAAAAAAAAAAAAAAAAAAAAACCATACAAAATAGATGGTTTTTGGCTCAGTAAAGAAGACTGGGTTAATTAAATGTGCAATATTGAAATCAGGAAAGACTTGAATTTTTGAAGCTATTCAATCCTATTATGTTCTTTACAAAGGAAGTAAAAAACCAAGCAAAATTAAATAAATAACAAAAAGAAAAGCTATGAAAATGTTTCACTGGATATAATGTACAATACTTCATCAAGTATGAGTCAGAGGATTATTGTAAGTTGAAGGATAGTTAACTTGATAGAAGATAATCAGAGGCAACAAAAATTATGAAACCTGATGTTTGCATATTTTAGGAGGAAACAAAGATCTTAGGTTAACATTTTCATCAAGTGACAGGTGACAGAGGTTCTGGGTCAGCAACAGGACAAATTGTAACACAGAATTTTCATTTTCATTTCTGTAACAAGAAGTATGACTGGCAAGATTGTCACTTAAGCATTTTACTTGAGAAGAAACATCACATCAAGTAAAAAGGAGATAAGAAGAAACAACTTGTTAAGAAGAGACAAAGTGTTCTATTTTACCGAAAGCATTCCAGGCATGTATTACACAGCATTATTCACAATTCAGGTGAGTCTCTTGTTAAAAATTACACAGACATGATTATTTATTGGTGGTAGACTCTTATTTTAATAGTTTCATAAATATGAGTATTTATATAATCTTGATGTGTTCTCTGCAATTGTTCAGTTATACTTTTTAGCATTTTATGAGTGGAATCACATAGTTTAGTGGTATTTGTAAATTTGAAGTTTTACAAAGGTCCTAGGACATACTTAGGAATATGTGGTAGTAATTAAAGTTGGTCTGAATTCTAGAAGAATTATATTAAGGGTGAGTGCAGTAGTTTAGATTCCTAGAAAAGGTGGATATTAGTTTTTAGGAATATAAAAAAACAGGCAAAAATAAGAGTAGTGATAAGCTTCAGTGACTTTGTCTTGCTTATTGTGGACCCATGGAAAACTGGCAAAGCCAGAAATAATTGAAAAACAATGTATTTTAAGTACCATGAGGTAAAAAATGGTCATGTTTACCCATGCATTCCCAACATATAATATGGTATCTCATACTAGTAGACATTGAATTATTGTTTGCACATTCTAACTACTACATCAGTATCTCCTTTTATACTATGCATCACCTAGAGATGATAAATGTGTAATAAAACAATAAAGATTATTGGTTAGAATCACCACTTCAGACAAGGCCTAACATACAATAGAGCTCTGAACAACAATGGAACATCAAGCAGAGACACTGCTCTGACACATTTTGAATTTGTCTATATTTGCTAAAGATCAAATATCATACCTCTAATCTTGGTTATGAAGAGTACATTTTATAAACTGTAATAGATTTTCTTAAAAATAAGCATTTACCATGCAAAAAAAGGAAAACATTGTTTCAGAAATAATAAGCAGTGGGTTATACCATTCTAAATGAGAGGATTTATAGCCCATTGTTTTCAGTTTAAATGTCAAAGTCCGTACATATAAACATTTGGAAAAACAGGTTTCAGTAGATCACACTATGTAAAGGTCATACAGACCTTGCAAATATTGCTGGATATCTAACTAATCTGATCCAGTTCTTGAGTTCAAATATCAAATTATATCCCCTTTTGCCACCTAGAATTCAAAATTTCTAATATTCAGTGTATCCTAAAAGTTTCACATTTTCATATTTGTAAGATCCCATATGAAACCATATGCAATTACCACATGCTATATTGTGACATGCTCTGTTAACATTAGCTCTTTGATCAATGACTCACCTTAACTGTTGAATCATCAAGCCCTACAGCAGTATTTTACATCTTCAGTTATGCATAATGTGAAGTAATATGCATGCCTGCCCACTGTAAATATGAGAGGCAATTTGTTTGGCTCCACATTTTATTTTTCTTTCAAGATTACACTACTAACTTCAACAAAAGCAATAAAATAAAAAATATTGCCTCACAATCCACAGCTCTGTCCATCAATAGCAAAAATTCTCAGTCTTAACACCAGTGCCAGAAGATGAATCTCATGGTAATTCAGTGATTGTATATGGATTCACATTAAACAAAACAAGTTAGATAAGCAATCAGATAACTAAAGTTTTTTCAAAGATAATAAAGAATATGTTAGAAATCATCAAATGTTTTCTCATTAATCAAATAAAAAGGAAGGGGGTTTTCAAGATGGCAGAATAGAAAAGGTTACTTTCTTGGCTACTTCTTAGAGTGAAACCAAGAAAGTAGACAGGCAGCTTCTCAACAAGGTGGGTGAAACCAAAAAAAAGGTGGGGTGGGGGCTTTACTGGAATTTAAAACTGGATATTCAAAGCACATCAGGGACCCAGTAGGTTGGATATAATAAAATAAGGAGGAAATCCCCAGGAGCACCAGCACAGTCGTTGCCATGCACAAGCAAGAAGCACCAGCCAGAATGGTCCCTCCACAAGTAAAGTGGAGGGATAAGGGAATTAAAGGAACCCACATTTTTTAGGAGACCTGAGGCATATCTGGGTACAGAGCATTTAGAGATCAAGGACATTGCCTAACTAAACTTAAAAACATGCTGCATAATATCCTTGTGCAGGAAAGAAGCCACCCTATCTCCAGGCAGTGGGTGGATTACAAAAGAAGGAACCATTTTATAGCCTCAGCATGAGGGCCAGCAGCTGAAGGAGCCAATTCCTGGCAAATTCAAGTTTGGCCTGAAATACAGGCCCAGTAAACACACATTGCAAAACATAGAGTGTGCTTAAGTGACCAGAAGAAAACCAAACATGGAGAGAGGTTTATCCAGGGGACAACTGGTTGTGGAAACCCACATGGCTCTATCCTTCCCTCTCAACTTGACTGCCTGAAGGACCAGCTGGGAGAGACATATCTGGCTGGGAAATCAGAAGGGAAGAGGGTGGGAGAGATTGAGTTTGGACACTGAACCCAAGAGTAAGAAATGTGAGGGCCACAGGTGATGTAGGGGACTAAAACTTGGCTCCTCTACCACAGAGTGGAACACAGGGGAGAGCCCTTGGATACAGTCTTCCAGTATGTACTGGAAAATACTGGGCCCAGAAGGTATGCTGATTTAAAATCTCCAGATCAACTGGCATTCAGCAAAGAGCCTAGAGCCCACCTAAGCCTAAACCCTGTCTACATGAATTCCATCTATGAGATTACCTCTCTCATTCCAGCAATCCAGAGGGTGGAGCATCACATTCCAGACAACCCTACCTAAAACTGCTGAGAAGAGAAGCTGAGAATCTTTGAACTTCAACAGAAAAAAAATAACTTTTCATCAAGATTTTTTCCTCTTTTTCTCCTTCTTTTTTTCTTTTCTATGTTCAATTGTGACCTTAATGATACATGGACATTCATATATATCATATTTGTTTTTTTTCTCATTTCTAGCATTTTTGAAGCCAGTTGTTTTTCATAGATCAGAGTTTTGAGGAGTAGGATGTTTGATTAGTATATTTTCGTTTTGTTTTGTATTCTTTTATTTTTATTTTTAAGTTTTTACACACACACACACACACACACACACACACACACATATATATATATTTCTCTTACTTGTTTCCCTTGATTCTCTTTCTTTTCTTCCATTAACCATCAATCTCTATTGTTCTCTTTCACTCTTCCTTTGTTTTATTTCTACCTTCTCTCTTCCTCCCTCATAATCATCACATCCTGTATCACTTCTGTTTTCTCCCTGTCCACCATTTGAAACTGTAAACCCTTTTACAAACTTGGTATTTTTATTGTAAGCAATAACTGATCACATCCTTTCCATTTACTATGATAATTAACACTGTAGATGTTATAGTAGGAACTATTTGGTTTAATGTTGTATATTGTTTGCATTGACTGTTATTATTTTTCTTCACCTAAATGGTGAGGTACTGTAAACCTTCAAGAAAACTACAAGTCCACAGGGTAGAAACTCTACTACCTCAGATCCATATTGCTAGATGGATAGACACACAAACAACACGATAAAGCAAAGGAACAAACTGCACTAAACAAACCAAGATACTTCAATAACAGAATCTAATAACACCACAGTGGAAGAAATGCCAGAGAAGGAATTTAGAATGTACATAGTCAGATTGATATGCAAAATAAAGGACAACATAAGGAGTGAAATCAGAAAGAAAATACAAGAAGTGAAAGATCACTTCAATAAAGATCTAGAGATCCTGAAAAAAAATGAAGCAGAAATCCTGGAAATGAAGGAATTAATAAACCAAATTAAGAATTCAATGGAAAGCAATGCCAACAGTCACTTGGAAGACAGAATTTTAGTCAATGAAGACAAAATATATAATATTGAAAACAAAGTTGACCATGAAGAAAAGATGTTAAGAGACCACATGAACAGAACTTCCAAGAGATACAGGAGAACTTGAAAAGACCAAATTGAAAAAAAAAAAAAAAAAAAAGCAAAGACCAAATTGAAGATTTATCGAGATAGATGGAGGCTCAGAGAAACAAATCAAAGAATGCACAATTTTTCAATGAAATAATATCAGAAAATTTCCCAAACCTAAAGAATGAAATGAAAAATTATATACAGAAGGCTTATAGGACCCCAAATATACAAAATTACAACAGACCCACACCAAGGCACATTATTATTAAACTGCCTAACATACAGAGTAAGGATTGAATTGAGAAAAACAATACATAATATTTAAAGGGAAATCAATCCACATCTCAGCTGATTTCTCAACCCAGACCCTCAAAGCTAGGAGGTTTTGGAATAATATACACCAAGCCCTGAAAGAAAATATATATCAGATAAGAATACTATATCCAGCAAAATTAAGCTCCAGAATTGAAGATGAAATAAAAACCTTCCATGATAAACAAGTGTCAAAAGAATTCACATCTAGAAAGGCTGCAATACAAAACATTTTCAGTAAAATATTCCATGAAGAACAAATGAAAAATAAAAGTGAAAAAAAGCAAAGGGAGGAACTATACTAGAAGGACAGTCAATCAAAGGAGAAACTAATTCAAAGCAAAATCCAGAAATAACCTGCACTGGTCTACATTCTGCTTTCCTAAAAAGGATGAATTTACATCATTTAATGAGACTATTTCAAGTTTTTGTTGTTTGTTCATTTGCTTGTTTTTGTTTTTGCAGGCTAAAATAAAAATGTTAAATATTTAAAAAGCAGAAATAAATCAAAATGAGAGGAAATAAAAATCATATCTCAATAATAGCTCGGAATGTAAAAGACTAAACCCATCAATCAAAAGAAACTGACTGGCAGATTGGATTAAAAGAAGTCCCAACAATATGCTGTGTTAAAGAGATTCACCTCATAGGTAAAGACCCCCATAGACTGAAGGTAAAAGGAGGGGGAAAAACATATCATTCACATGGATATTGTAAACAAGCAGGGGTTTCTATCCTCTTATCAGATAAGTGGACTTCAAGCCAAAGTTAATCAGAAGGGACAGAAGGACATTTTATACTCCTTAAGGGAACTATACATCAATAATACATGACAATCATAAATATTTATGTCCCAAACAATGGAGCATGTCTGTATATCAAACAAAATCTTCTCAGTTTCAAGGATCAAACAGACCAAAACACAGTAATACTGGTTGGTTGACATTAACACATCTATCTCACCACTGGATAGATCTTACCAAAAAAAAAACTAAATAAAAAAGCTCTAGAAGTAAAAGGTACAATTGATAATTTAGGCTGTACAGACATATATAGAATATCTCATCCATCAATGACTGAATACACTTTCTGTTCAGCAGCACACAGATCCTTCTCTAATATAGACCATATTATGTAAGCTATCACATATGTGTGTATACAATTGTAATATTACCTTAATATATTTTTAGCATCTGTAGAATTATTTTGATAGCTCACTTTCCATTGATAATGATTTTTATGTTCTTGCTTTTTTCTTGATTAGGCTTGTTTGATTTTATTAACTTTCAGCTGTATTACTTTTTCTCTATTTCATATATTTCCGCTCCTACTCTTATTTTTTCCTTCCTACTACCTAATTTAAAAATAATTTGTTATTCTAGCTTCTTTCTGATACAAGTACTTTGAGTTATAAATGTTCATCTGACTACTGTTTAATTGCAGAGATTCTGATATTTTAAGCTTTTATTTGGTTCAAAGCACTTTTTGCGTTTCTTGTGCTTTCTTCCTTGACCTGTGAGATACATGTTAGTGTGCCATTTAATTTTGAAGCAGTTGACATGTGGTAGTGGGGTTCTTTATATCTTAAGGTGATTGATTTCTAATATAATAAGTCATGCAGGAAGCATAGTCTGCATAATTTCAAATTAAAAAATAATGGAAATGCTTTTTTATATTGATTGTATTTGCTACATACATGTCAAAACTGATCAAACTGCATACTGCTAATAGGTGAATTTTATTCTTCAATTTTACCACAATAAAACTGTAAGAAAAAGGGAAGCTCTGGGTTTATTTAATTACTTCAAAGTCACATGGATAGTTCGTTTGTAAATCCTAGCAAATTCTGCTATTCATATTTCTTTTTTTTTTTCTTTTTTCTTTTTATTTTTTTGTTATAGAGGATTGAACCCAGGGGCACTGTATACTAAGGCACATCCCCATCAGTGTTTAAAATTTTGAGACAGGTTCTTAGAAAGTTGCTTATGGCTTCCCTAAGTTTCAGAGGGTGGCCTCAAACTTATAATTCTCTTTCCTGAGCCTCCTGAGTTGCTGGGATTATAGGCATGCACCATTACACCCAGCTAATATTTCTTAACTAAATATTCTTTTCATTGTACTTTATATATTATACTAATATTAAGTACCAGCACTAACTTGATAGCTTTAAAAGGGCTATGCTGAAAACGTAGAAAACTGAGAAATGAAATGAGGTCCAAGGTCACTTGAAAGTTCAGGTAGTCTGAGTCTGATCTAGAGTATATGCATATAAGACATACTTTGGAAATTGATGAGAAAAATATGAGGTGAGAAAAATAGGATTTTAGTAAGTTTAATTTGTTATTAATTTTTAGGATGAGATGAAGTACAGAAAACTATTCCTTCAGGGAGATAAAAATGGAGAGCTTCATGTTCAAATTCTAGTTCAAATAAGGTTTCAGGATTTGAGATTTTTAAAATAAATTATTTCTTCATAATTATCTAAATATTGAAATCAACCTTTACAAGGAATTTTTAGTGTTAATCATCAAAACTTATGGCTTATAGATAGGTACAGTGGTACATATCTATATTCCTAGCTCATCAGGAGGCTGAAGCAGGAAGATCACAAATTCAAGGCTAGCTTTAGTAACTTAAGGAGACTCTGTCCGCCCCCCCCAAAAAAGAATAAAAGTGCTAGGGGTGTAGCTCCATGGTACAACACACCTGGGTTCAATCTATAGTATAGAAAAACAAAAACAAAATAAAACAACAATAAACTTAGGACTTACTAGATTGAAACTGTGTGCATAAAATACCATTAATGAAATCTGCCATTGAAGATCCTGTGACATGCATACACCTCCCTCCTCCAGAAAGACTTAAGGGCTTTTGAAAAAAAATCAAAATATCCATAACAAGAATTCTATGACTATTGCTTTCTTAGCAAGGAAGCCAGCACTGAGCCAGAGACTTAGGCAGCATGCTGGCTCCTCACAGGGAAATGGATTAGATTAACCACAGAGCCCAATTTACATAGCCTTGACTCACCACAGATTTGTACTCTTCTACATGATAGCCTTGGAACAGGTTTTGTTATTTGTTTTTGTTGTGTTTTGCTTTGTTTTCTGAGCAATGGACAGTTTCCTATTCTGTGTTGAATATAAAATTCAGGCTATATATATTATACTTAAGATTGGAGGACATACAGTCAATCAACAAGTACATGAAAAAATGCTCACCATCTCTAGCTGTCAGAGAAATGCAAATCAAAACCACCCTAAGATACCATCTCACTCCAGTAAGATTGGCAGCCATTATGAAGTCAAACAACAACAAGTGCTGGCGAGGATGTGGGGAAAAGGGTACACTTGTACATTGCTGGTGGGACTGCAGATTGGTGCAGCCAATTTGGAAAGCAGTATGGAGATTTCTTGGAAAGCTGGGAATGGAGCCACCATTTGATCCAGCTATTCCCCTTCTTGGTCTATTCCCTAAAGACCTAAAAAGAGCATGCTACAGGGACACTGCTACATCGATGTTCATAGCAGCACAATTCACAATAGCAAGACTGTGGAACCAACCTAGATGCCCTTCAATAGACGAATGGATAAAAAAAAAAAATGTGGCATTTATACACAATGGAGTATTACTCTGCATTAAAAAATGACAAAATCACAGAATTTGCAGGGAAATGGATGGCATTAGAGCAGATTATGCTAAGTGAAGCTAGCCAATCCCTAAAAAATAAATGCCAAATGTCTTCTTTGATGTAAGGAGAGTAACTAAGATTAGAGTAGGGATGAAGAGCAGGAGAAGAAGATTAACATTTAACAGGGATGAGAGGTGGGAGGGAAAGGGAGAGAGAAGGGAAATTGCATGGAAATGGAAGGAGACCCTCAGGGTTATACAGTGGAGGGGGTAGAGAGAGAGGAGGGGAGGGGAGGGGAGAGGTGGGGAGGGGGTATGGTGGAGGATGGGAAAGGCAGCGGAGCACAACAGACACTAGTATGGCAATATGTAAATCAATGGATGTGTAACTGATGTGATTCTGCAATCTGTGTATGGGGTGAAGGTGGGAGTTCATAACCCACTTGCATCAAAGTGTGGAATATGATATGTCAAGAAATTTGTAATGTTTTGAACAACCAACAATAAAAAATTAAAAAAAAAAAAGATTGTGTGCAAGTTATCCAGTTGAATCACCTTATGGTACAGTCTAGTGTTATTTTTATATGCATACTAAAGAATAAACACTTCTAAAATCTTTGCTCATATGAAATATTAAAAATTAGGAATGTTTAATAGTATGCCATATTTTAGAATCAGACTGGATTTAAATTCCAGATTTACCATTGACTAGTTATCTGCACACTTTAAGCCCTTAGAACTTTGGCTTTTCCAAATGGACTGACTGTTTAATGACTGCTTAATGAGTACAGGGTTTCCTCTTGGATGATGAAAATATTTTGGATCAAAATACTGGTGTGGTTGCACAATATCATGAATGTAATAAATGCCACTAAAATGTACACTTCAAAAAGGTTAATCTTAGGGGCCTGGACTTGTGGCTCAGTGGTAGAGCACTCTCCTAGCATGTGTGAGGCACTGGGTTGAATCCTCAGCATCACATAAAAATAAATAATTGAAGTTACAAAAAAAAGCATCTTAAAAAAAAGGTTAATTTTAGGTTATGTGAATCTCACCTCAACCTAAAAAATTC